GAAAAAGAAGAGAAGTGAAAGTTCTTAATTTCATCTAACAGAAGTTTTTGGATCCCAGCCACTATATCAGGTTACAACTCTGGAAGTGGTCTTTAATCCCTGTATTTATGTATATGTGTATTTTTAACAACAAAAATAAAAGCATACAAATTACAGCTATGATAGTATATGTACTTAAAAATATTTTTGATTTTAATGTTTTTAATAACTTTTATTAGAAATTTCATATCTGCAGTCAGAAATATACAAACTGATGAATCATTTAGGGCACCCTTGATGTGGTGTTCCAGTGAAGTTTCTTTTCAGCTTCTGTATAGGAATTGCAACAGAATTTGCTTAAACTCTTTTAATTCTATCAAAGAGAAATACAGCATCACCTCTTTTTTTTCTTACTGACATCTTAAAAGGAATATAGCAAAAAGGAGTCCCCAATTTTTCTTTCAAACTGTCCTGCTCAAACACCTTATTTTTTCAGCTTTTTTGCTTTACTACCACATTACTTCCTGTTGTGGAATTTCTGCTTCTTTTAATTTTCATTTAAACCAGGCTTCCACTTTTTCTACTTGCCATTTATTTGATAACCAGCCATCTATTTTACTGGTTTTGTTTCTCTTATCCACCCCGTGATATTTATTTATACTGAATTTTTCTTATAGTAGTTTTAAATAAGTCATAAGATACCTAAAGAGACATGACTCTATTTACTCTTCCTTTCAGTATTTTTTAAAATTGCTCCCTTACTAATTTTGCCAGCCTGAATGATAAGGTGGTTTTCCAGCCTAGAGCAAATACAAAAGGATTAACCTGTAATCCATATAGGTAGTCCTTGTTTAACAATGGTAATTGAGACCAGAATTTCTGTCGCTAAGCAATGCAGTCATAAAGCATGATATCATATGACTGCATTGCTTAGCGATGGCAATCCCAGCAGTCCCTGCTGCTGTCATTAAGCAAGAATCGCAGGTTATTAAGCAAGGACCTCCTTGCAACTTTCTTCTGGCTTCCAACAAGCACATTCAATGGGGAAGCCAGCAGGAAGTCGTAAGTACCAGGAGGCTTGTAAGCAGGCTGGTGGGCAGTTAAGTGGCTGGGCAGGGAGTAGGTGCTGCCGAGGGTGGGAGGGTATGCTGGTGGCTGCTGCAGCCCAGTGTAAGCACAGCCAAATGCAGGGTGGGTGCTCCAGAGAGCGGGATGCCATGCAGGTGGCCACTGACTTTGCTTGTAGGAAGCAAGCAGGGAAGGTCAGAAATAGCAATCATATGACCATGGGACTCTACAACCGTCATAAGTGTGAGCCAGTTGCCAAGCACCCAAATTGGGATCATGTGACCACGGGGGTGCTGGGACAGCCGGAACATCAAGGACCAGTCCTAAGTACCATTTGTTCAATAGCATCATAACTTTGAACGATCACTGAACGAGTGGTTGCTAACTGAGAACTACCTGTCTTGTCTTTCTAGTACTTGAAATAAGCTAATAAGGTAGGGGTTGAGCAGGATAGAGAAAATATGCTGTTTTAAATTTAGTTTTCCAATTCATGTTTTTACTTATTGATATGCTAAAACCAGTATACAGGTAGTACTTGGTTAATAACAGTAATTGGGACTGGAATTTCAATGGATCCTGGACAGCTTGCAAGACTTAGAAATAAAACAGGAACCCCTAGAGAAAAGTACAATAAATTGGTCTAATTGCGTTTCTTTAAATAAATCACTAAATGTGTGCAGATCTTTAGTCCAAATTAAATTGGTGTTAACGTGAAAATGGGAGGAAGGTATCTCTGACAACTTTATATCAAAGGAAGTTAGCAATGGATAAACATCATTACTAAGATTGGAAGGAATTTCAAGGATAGTAAAATCCTCATGCTTTCAATTGTTATTTATTCCAATGTTTAATTATTTTCAATTATTTTCATTAATACTGTTTTAATTTATATTTGGAATCTTTTTCATTGCATGCTGCTTTGATGATTGCTGAAATTCTATACTGCTGTTTCTTCAACCAGATAAATAAATTATGAGTTCAACTGAGAATAATGTATTGTGCCAATCTAATGTATATTATTTTTAATGTATTGATTGAGAATGTTACTTTGGTATTCTGTATTGCAGTTACAGCACTCTGTAAAGATGTTTGGATAGTCCAAGCTGCACAAATCATACCGTTGGAATGTAGATAAGAAACAATCTCAGTCCTGTATCCAGAGCTGAATCTTGACTGAAAAATATCTAGATAATTTGCTTTATGGTCATTTCTGCATTCACACAATCAAAATTTCATCCCCATTTAGACTGTCCTGCTCTGGTTCTTTGATATCAGCAACTAGGAAATAGTTTGCCTGTACTTCTTTTGCTTTTTTTTGCTTTTCTGTTTTTTTTCCCCCTGCTTTTTTTCTTTTCTTTTTTCTTTTCTTTTTCTTTTTTTCTGCTGACAAACCATGTCAGGACTTGACATGGCCTTTGAGTTTCAGTAGGCTATTGTGGGGGGGGGGGCACATTGAGTCATTCTGAGAAGTTGTAACTGACATTGCTAAAGCCCAAATGCCAGCTAGAGCCAAAATGAAACTCCACAGGTTATTATGGTTGGATTTGTTGACTAACCGATGATAAAAACAAACTGAACAGTATAGAAAATAAATGCTAAAATATAATATTAAAGATTTCATCATATCCTCCAAAAGTCGATCCAGATAAAAATTCCTGCAGTTCTGCCAGTAGTAGCTCATAATTTGGAGATGCTCTGTGGGAAGGGAATTCTTTTGTTGCCGACTAGCCAAGAAGAATGCTGCCCTGTGTATTCTTGTTTTCTCAGTTTACTGTTTAGATATTTCCTTGGTCAAAGAAGGGAATAGGATAGAAAGCAATGCCATCATCTTGCCTTTCCCGCTCACTGCTGACTTTCTTTATCTATTTCATACCCTTGATTTTATGTCCACCTCCCTCCCCCTCTAACAAATTCTTTATTTCATTTTTATTTTGATAATAATATACTTAATACTGAATATCATCCAAAAGCTTGTTCCTTTAAAAATATTCTGATTGCTTTCTACGTTATCTTTTTTCTTGCTCTTTTTTTTTTTTTTTTGAACCAAGTGATTTCACTATGCAGTGATACCTTATAAGTGGCTGACTATCTACTTAACAGAGTTACCTTCTGCCACTTCAGCCTGGAAACTGTAGTGTTGTGCCAGTGATGATAAAAAGATAATGCATTTGTTTAAATATAAAGGTCTCTTTGATTATTAAATCAGTATACACATTAATCATATCCACATATCATATTAGACTAAAATTCTTCTCATTTAATTTTGAAATAATGGTATGTTGGTGCATGTTATTTAATCACTACTACTTAGCTTAGTCTAAGCAGATAAATAGTGAAAGCTATTCTGTGATTTGTTTCTAATGTCTGAACCATGGAGTGGTGAAGAAGCTATGGAAAAAAACTATGATTTGTTTTCCCTTGCCTACTTTCAGGAGAAGCCAATCAGGAATGCTTGTTCAACTTAAAAATTTCTTTAGCTACATCTACATGGTTTGTCACTTGCATTGTAATCCCCATCTTTTAGGCTCCATTTTGTGGCTTAGGTTTTAGAGTGATCTCTGCTGTACGTAACAAAGATCTAACTAAGAGGCTTGGCTAAGAGGTACCCCTGTTTCCATTTTAAAGGCAAGTTTTGCCTGAAGTATTTGGAAGCAAGCTGTTTGCTGGTTCTGCCTTTTAGAGATCCTGAAGGAAAATAAAACAAGAGAGAAGAGATTACAGGTGGTCCTTGCTTATCAACTGCCTCATTTAGCGACTGTTCAAAGTTACAATGATTGGGGGGAAAAAAGACAGCTTTGTGACCAATCCTTACATTTATGACCGTTGCAACAAAAAACACAAAAAACAGTTTTGTGACCAATCCTGCGGTCACGTAATTGCTTTTTGCATGCTTCACAATTGGCTTCCAACAAGCAGAATTAATGGAGAATGCAGAGGTGAAATTGTAAGTCGCAGTCACATGAGGTCTTGCTTAATGACCGTGGTGATTCAGTTAACAGTGGAAGTGGAAGTGAGATTGTAAGTCTGTCACAGTCATATGATTTTCCCCTTAGCAACCATGCTGCTTAGCAACAGAATTGCCAGTCCCAATTGTGGTAAGTGAGGATTACCTGTATGCTAGCCTAAACAGGGAAAAAGTTGTTATTCCAAAGATACTAATCCACCTCACAGTTGGCCTTGTCCTTCTTACATGTCATAAGTTTTCAGGCATAAAAGAAATAAGTAATACTATTCTTCCCCCACAACCTTTTGGAACAAATTGGTTCTACGTTATACAGAAGGATCATGTTGAAGTTGGCTGATTTAATTTTTGCAAATGAACTGATAGTAAATGGACTAATGTTCACATTTTTCATAACTTGAGACTTTGAAGTTAAGTAGCTTTTCACACCTCTCTTTGCAAAAAGCAGCAACATTTTTTCAACATCAGGAGTCTCCAGTTAGGGTGAAGTATATTTTTAACTGATTCTACACTTATTACTCTTTCCATTGCAATCCACTATTTTAACTGGGATCCAAATAGAATGTCAGTCTTTAACCTTGTGTGATTTCAAAAGCTTGTCAAATTTCAGACCTGCCATTACTAAATCACAATCCACTTAGGCTTCCTTTGCAAGACCACTTTGTTTATGCTCTTGAAGTACTCAGATTCTCATATGAAGTCTAAGAGATAGGTTAGGAGATTTGGGATTTTTAAAGAGTATTTTACGCTCTTCTAGCAGCACAAAGAAATTCCCATCATTAAGATAAACCAGAAGACTTGATTGTTATCCAGTTGTGCTAAACCAAATGACTCTATCCTGTTACCCTTATCCACTGCTGTTCTGGAGTTGATTATTCTTGATCAGAGAAAGCATAGAGAGAGGCTTAACATTTTCCACGGGCAGATGGTGATACTGGTTCTCTTTTAGCAACCATGAATGAAATCATCTTTGGGTTTCATGTGTGTATTAAGAATACATCAAGCTGCCCTCCTTGCAACTGAACAGAACGTGTTAAGTGTTAACAAGTTCTTACTTGAGTAATGGGAATGTGTTTGTTTTCTCATCACTGGCATGCTTTATGTAGTGATGATTTCCCTTGTCCTTGGACTGTCAGACCAGCAACATCAAATATTAATCCGTCTCTCCATTGATAGGAATGATATTTTGTCCTTTATTCTGAAAGTTAATTCGCCATTCCTTTGATCAAACCCTTGGCATCCCAGACAAGAATGTCATTGTCAAGACTATGATCTTGTACTCTCCAGACATTTTACTCTATGACTTCCATAATGCTTTGCTATTAGCATTCTGGATTGAATCTTAACCTGTTCCTGCCCATCCAGATTTGGACAGCATCACTTAGCATCCTGATGAAACCTGATCCCATACTGCTGGATGATCTCACCCACTAGTTTCATGTAAATATTAAATAGGAGTGAAGAGAGCATTGAACCCTGCAAAACATTGTATGAAATAAAATTTAGCTTTGTTGCTAATTTTATCCATTTTTAACACTGTGTAACATTCAAATAGATTAGAGCAGTATTAAAATATTTTGGAATTTAAATAATAGTAGCATTTCTCACCAATGTATCTCAGTGTATTTTTCTTCCCTTATCTCTATAGGAACACCAATATATTCAGTAGCATGGGGCCCAGATTCTGAAAAGATTCTTTATACAACAGGAAAGCAGCTGATTATCAAACCACTTCAGCCAAATGCTAAAGTTTTGCAGGTAGTATTAATATAATGTATTTAATAATGTTATGAAATATTTATGTAGTATACAGTTTCCAAAACAGTAATCTTCATCTTTGCTGTGTGAAGGATGATGATTTATAGCATTCACAGAATGTGTTGTGTTGATAGAATTGTCACCATTTATTTCAGAGTTGGTACTTATTTCAGAAGTACCTGTTGTGCAGAAGCTTAGAACTGTAAGCTAGAGAAATTGAATCAAGGTAGCTATTACTGTACTGGCTAATGTGTGAAAGGATAGTTTATGTGATCGTGCTAACTTTAAAAGTAACATTAGTGCTTTGCCACAGTCTCACATTTCATTTATTTAATATATATGCTGTCTTTCATTTATGAGCATAAAATAGCATACACAGTGCTCCTGCCCCCTATTTTTCCTCACAACAGTTACCCAGTGAGTTTCTGTGGCTGAGGGAAAACTTGAACTTGGGCTTCCTTGTTCCTAGTCCGATACATTAACCATTGCACCAGGACAAGAGGCCAACATTAACTTAATCTGGAATTAGATTAGAAATTGTACGGATAGTCTCTGGAATAAGAACGCCCGGGTTACAGATGATCCATAGTTAAGAACGGAGCCTGTTATAGCAAAATTCAAGTTAAATACACAATGATTCGAATTAAATACACAGTGGTTCGAGTTCATTACACAATGCTACTTCTACAGTATTATACAATAATACTATTCTGGTTTACATACAAATTCGACTTAAGGAGAGACCTTGGGAACAGAACTTGTTCTTAAACTGGGGACTACATGTAATTGAATATTTATTTTATTTATTTATTTATATTTCAAATTTAGGTACTGCCCACCTCACGAAAAAGTGACTCTGGGCAGTTCACAATAAAACAACAATAAATATTAATTAAAATACAATAATATAAAAATACAGTAAAAAAATAGAATAAAACCAAACACATACACAAATAATATCTTCCAAGATGTTGATGATCAGTAAGATGTTA